TAGAGGTTGGAAAGTCCAAGACCAAGGCACCAGCGCTTGAGTCTGTTAAAACTGCTCCTAGGAGAGGATGCCTTTGAATCCTCAAGGGCACTGCTGTCATCCACAAGGGCTCTGCCTCCATGTTCTCATCCCTTCCCAAGGGCACTGCCTCTTCATACCATCACTGTTGAGCACATTCATCAACATTTAATATTAAGGGTTCCATAGATATTCAGACCACAGCAATGCTGAGAAGACTATATATGATTTATTATAATGATATTAAAATTATTACCTTAATCCACACAATTAATTTTTATCTCGATATATTCTTTTAAACCTTTTTTATGTGTTTGTGATGGGAAGATGTCAACATTGAATGCATTTCTCAATCACTCTCCACCTTAGTTTTTGAGATAGGGTCTCTTACTGATCCTGGTATTTGCTGATTCAGGGTCTCTCCTGACTCCACTTTCCCAGCCCTGGGACTACAGGTGTATGCTACAGCAGAAGTTTTTCACATGAGTACTGGGATTCATATTCATGTTCTCATGTTCATGCAGCAACTACTTTACCGGTTACGCCATCTTCCTAGCACTCATAAAACACGATTAAATAATCATCGCACTAATTTTGAAAAAAATACTATGTTTTATGAATACAAGTCTCAGATTATGCCTCCAGGGATTTAAAATGCACATTATAAGTATTGTCATCTGGGGTCTTGATTCAGTTTGCGGATTGAAGGCAGTGCCTTTCTTCTCTAGTAATAGATTCCTGTGAACCACTGCTGATGGGGTGGTTGTCCGTAGATGGACATCCGTGTGTTCAGAGTTCTCATCCACTTATCTGTAGTGTCATTCTGATTGTTTGCTTTGCTGAGTGTGGCAGACAGAGAGCTGTGCAGGGCTTGGGAGACACAGCAGATTGGGGGTAGGTTTCCGTGTCCCTGTTTCTCCCCGTAACTGGGGACCAGCACCGGGGTGCTAGCTTTCGTCACTGTCTCTAGCAGCTATACTCAGCATTGAAGCCAGGGAGAGGTGTCTGCTGCTGAGTCTCCAACTATCACTGTGTTTCTAAGCTAATCTTCTGTTGACCGCCCATAAGCTTGTTTGTCTCTGTGAGGTGAGGGCTTTGTGTGACCCAGGCTTTTGGGGGGCTTGTACTGCTTTTACAGGGAATTACCTACATAGAACGAATCAATGAATTGATGGTGCCCCTTGGTTACTCACCACACTGATCATGCCTGCTCATGTAGCCTCAGTCGGCCCAGATCTCACCCAGACAGTTTGCTGTTCCCCAGTCATCCACTCTTGCTGACTTAGGCCATCTAGACAGTACTCTGGATAAGCGGCCCGTTGATGTTGCTTGTTTTAGAACCTTAATGTATGTTTAAAAATATTTTTCTGAGCTAGACATGGTGGCTCAGCACTTTTGAGAATCAAGAGTTCAAGGTCATCTTCAGCTGTGTAGTGAGTTAGGAGCAAGCCTGGGCTACATCTGCGACCCTGTGCATGTTTTATCTATGATTTCCACATTGTGATTTGAGTTAGCACATAGGTTTGTTATTAAACATGGAATATAACAGGGAGAAGATGCCCTCCTTTGGCTTCATTTTTTTTTTGGAAATACTTTTAAGATTCAAGAATATTTCAAATATGTAAACATACCAAGAACAATATAATGAATGCCGGTATCTAGAAATCTATATTTAACAATCCCAAACACCTAACAATATTTGCTTCAGCTTTTAAAAAACAAATCAAACCCTGTCGCTATCACCCTGCTCCCACCATTTTCTCTCTCCCTCCTCACTGGCCAGTTGGCGTGTGCCCTTCCTGCCAGTGCCTATTGTTATTACAAGCTTACTCCACAGATAAACAGCAGACAGGCATGCTTTCCTGGCTCTTAACATGGGCTGAATGGCCCCCACTCCTTCAGATCGCATCACAAGTAAAATGCCACCCTGGTCAAATCCTGAGTGCCTGTGCTTCTTGTTATTCTCCTTTTTCTGTCAGTTATCGTCATGTGTCTAAAATAATCTTAGTTGCTGGCCTCTTGTTCCATGTTTCTTTTCTGCCTTTGTGAGGCTGGGCACTCATGTTACCTGGGCTGATCTGGAAGAAATTCAGAGTCTGGAGGAAGCAATAGTCAACCAAAATGTAATGGTAGAGGTTTTATTCGTCTCCAATGTATTTATTTGAATGATTCCCTTTCTATAAGAACAGGTATGCCTAGTTTTGTGGGGTCCTCACAGAACAGACTGCTTGGGCATGGGTTAAGCCAATAGAATGTCTTTATTAGCCAGTAAGTGACTACACAGAGTGTTCAGGATCCCAGTGCAGCCCGAGCCTTTCTCAGGGTGAGCTTCTAAACACACACACACACACACACACACACACACACACACACACACACACACCAAAAACCCATGTCCTGGGTTGACATACTTCACTTAACAAGAACTGTTAGCCAGAAGCAGATCTACAGAAGCCAAATAGCAAGGTTAGTCCATTTAGATTTTCCCACAACTGTAGACTTTGATGGATTAGGCCTTTGTTTTAGTTTTAGCAGGTGGTACTGTCTGCTTTTTGCATCTCACAGCCTGAATGGCACTTCCAGTCATGGAGTGGGGACCTACTAAAGTCTAGGGCCCTGTTATATCTAGATTTCTTTTTACAGTAGTGCCTTATACTTTCTTTTAAATTAGGGGAAAAAAACGATTGCTAAGAGCACAGATACCATTCAGACATAAAGAAGTCAGGACATTTATGCTGGAACAGCTGAGCATCTGGCCTAAAGAACGGAGTTTAATGTATCTTGATAGGACATGCAAAGCTCTGCCTGATCCCACTTTGGTTCTCTCCTGGTCCCAAGATGCACCACTCTTCACCTGTAGCTGCTTCCTTCCCACACCTTCTCTTACAACCTAGGGTGAACTTGCTGATACCTCTTTGAGGCTATTTACTGTAGCCAGCACTCCTGTGAAACCTGGCTCTCAGGCTTCCTCTCTGGCCCAGAAGCAGGGCTTAGTACACAGCACTGTGTACCTCTCTGAACCAATTCTACACCCAAAGGAGAATTTTGTGCCAGTTTTTAGAGTCAGGGGAAAAGGTTTGGTGATCTCTCACATAACTGTATTATTTTCCACGGGGAAAAGGGTTTAGCTCACATTTTCAAGTTTGAAGTTTTAAAAATCGCCCTGCTTATGAATCTCAATAGGGAATGGGAAATTACTTTCTTTCACCTGGAGGTGTGTCAACCTGCGCCTTGATGAAGGGGAAGACTAAAACGATGACACACAAGGGGAAACAACAGTGGTGGGGAGAGATGGCTTTTATGCCGTTCCTTCATAGTGCCTTAAGGTTCAGCACCCATTACATAAGCGCCATTAGGGAATTCAAAATCAAGTAGAGCCTTTCAAATATTTTAAAACATTAAAAAATACTCAGCATATAGGCTTTAGAGGCACAGGTCACAGATCACTGCAGACATTTCTATGCTGTGGGAACAGCATTCCAGTGTCATGGTTCATTCTACAGGGCATTTGATTCACCAGCCCAAACACTAGGCAAACATGAACTGCTTTAGCATGTGCTCATTCATTCATTCATTCAATCAATCATTCATTCTGCTAATATATTCTGAAGTTCATATTTAGTTTACACATCATGATTTAAAAAATAGCAGCAGTCCAAGTGTTGGTGTACACTTGTAATCTAAGCACTCAGGAGGTGTTTGCAGGAGGATGAGATCAAGACCACCCTTAGCTCCACAGTGAATAAGAAGCCACCCTAAAGTACATGAGGTCATGTCTCACAACCAAACTAATCAATCAATAAGATAAATAAAAGGAGCCTATCCCCCCACCCAAAGAAAAGCAAAAGCAAAATGAAAACCAAAACCCACAATGCACTTGGCTCTTGCCTTAGAAGCAAAAGGACACTTTGGTTCTTGACGGGTTGAGGGAAATGGGGAGAGTTCAGTGTTAATGTTTTCTTCAAACGTATTTTGCGTGGCCAAACCAGGAGAGAGAAAGGTCTGGGAAAGTGACGTCACATTTTTCATAACAGAAAGCCCTGATACCACTGCAAACACCCAGCATTTGCATTAAAAGAAGTAGAAGTCAAATCGCTAACATGTCACCTCTTACTATCCCTGAGCCAAACTTTCTCCATCAATCCTGGTAGGTCACCAGGGAAAAGCAGCAGAGAAGTAAACGCTGGCTTTGGCGGCAGTGTGTCGCCCAATTAATGTAGTTCTGGGAGTCACCTGAAGCCTTCCAGCTACTGCACCCAAGGAGCAAGCTTCGCTTTCAGTTCGGTCATTTCCATGGGGAATTGCGGCACGCGCAGGTCCTGGGTGTGGCGATGTCTAGAAGGAGCTCACAACTCCAGGCTTTCCACCTTCTGGCCAATGCACCCAGTTGAGAGAACTAGGGATGATACGGGCCTGAAACTCGGGGACCGCGAACGACCGCGACCAGGCGGCCACTGCCCAGCACTAAAGCCAGGCTGCGCACTCCGCGTGTGTAAGCTTCTCCCCAACCCGCTCTGAGCGGGGAGGCGGATCCCCTTCCCTGCGCACAAGTCCTTATATGCACCGGTTGCACCGGCCCGCCTTTACTCCAGCCCCACAAATAATTAATGGGGGAGGCAGGACGCTGCTGTCTTTTCCCGCTGTCTCTCCTCGCCACCCTTTTCATCATTAGAGCATCTGAACCTAGTCAAGAAAACCCAAGGATGCGATCGAAGGGCCATTTTGGTGCATTGCACAAATTGGATGCATTAAAAAAATAGCCTTCGGATCCCTGCACAGCGAGGGTCAAGATCGGCTCTTCCTATTCAGCACTATTAACCGGCAAAAGCTGGGGCGGAAAGGGTGCGCACCCCTCCCCCACCCAGGCTAGTGCAGAGGGACCCGGTCAGGAAGCGCGGCCTCTCCCCAGTCGGAGACCACGCCTCCCCCCCCCACTCCTCCCAGGAAGCGGTGATAGACAGTTCTGCGTGGTTCTCCACCCCCAACCCCCCCCCCCCAGCTGAGTGGAGGAGTTGATATGTCTCATTATAACAGCCAATGCAGCCGCCATCCACGCACAAGCAAAGAAGCATGTCCCATTTAAATACACCCACGCAGCCCCAGCGCCCTTAGCCGATCAGGGCGCGCAGCCCACACGCACCGCGGCTCCGGGCTTGGAGATCCGCGCAGGTCGGGCTCCGGGATCCCGCGGATCGACACTCTCGGAAGATCGGGATCGCACTCTGGTTGGGGCCCGGGTGGGCGGGGGAGGCTGGGCCCCGGGCCTCTCTGGCGGACAGCCGCATGAGGACGCGAGCGACATAGACCAGGGTGGAATTGCCAAGGCAGACGCTTCGGGCTGGTTTTGGTCTATTTCTCCCGCGAAGAGTCGACATGGCGAGCGACTCCCCAGCTCGCAGCCTGGATGAAATCGATCTCTCCGCCCTGAGGGTGAGCAGAATGTGTTTTGTTTTTTTGTTTTCCTCCCTTTCTTTTCAATGGTCTGGGGCTGGGCGATGGAACGTTCCCTGTCTTCCCGTCCTGATTCTGGGGCAGCGTATGGGGTTCTAGGGCGAGCCCCTACCCTATAGCAGGGGATGGGCTGCCCTTGTGCTCCTAGACTGTTCACGAGGTTCTGCAAGGAAGCTGGTGGAGCTTATGTCAGTTTCATCTTCGATCGGTGTAAGAGAATTACATGGAAGGCGTGTGTGTGTGTGTGTGTGTGTGTGTGTGTGTGTGTGTGTGTGTGCACCCGAGCAACTGTCTCGTGCCAAGGCGCGAGACCCGACTGTTCCTTGCTGCAAAAAAGAATCTCCTCAAGAATAAAGGCACTGGCCTCTCAGGTTTGCCAGCAACCTGCAAGATGACAACGTGAGTCTAGCTGTCTCCACCAGCCAACCCTGTCGCTTCAAAGGGGGCAGTAATTGCTGTTTCCGGGCTGTTGTGGTAGATGGCAACTGACCCCTCCCGGATTCTGCTTCTGGTGCCGGGGCTCAGGCTCAGCGCTTCCCTCAACGCCAGGGTACACTCACCTTTATCTGCGGTTTGAACTCAGCCCTGCCTATGCCTTTCTAACTCGGTGACTGTGACCTTTCAGTTTTATGGCTGAACTTCAGCAGGTGAAAGGGACGCCTTAAACAGCTTCTCTCCACCACACTGAAACTCCCTGGAGAGACTGTGTGTGCGTGGTGTGTGGTGTGTGTGTGTGTGTGTGTGTGTGTGTGTGTGTGTGTGTGTGTGTGTGTGTTTCCCCGGTATGTGACCAGTCCTTTGTAGAACAACTTCCCTTCCCCCAGCTCTGCCGCTTTGCCTTTACCTTCTCTCGAGACACCTCAGACGTCGTTCCATTGTATTGAATAAGACTTTAGTGATCTAGAATCCATTTTGCTGTTGTTTGGAGATCATACTGCCAGGAATCCCATTGCAGCCTCGACGCTTCCCTACCCCCACCCCTAATCCCAGCACACTCCTTCGGGGAAGGGAGCCCAGCGTTCTTGCCATTTTAATTAGATGCTGCCTGCCAGGAAGGGGTAAGGAGGGGTGATGGCGGTGGCAGCAACAGGGATCTGAGAAAGATTGGACACCAATCTCAGTACAACTAGTTTCTTCCTCTCCTGAACTAAAAATAAAATAAAGAGCAAATGCATATGCTTGATGCCAGGAGGGTAGGTGAGACTGAAGGGATGGTGGCTCACATCACTGACTGTCAGTATAGGAAGTGGAGTGGTCACCTTATTAGGTTGATGCTAAATCTTGGGGCCATTTACCTATATCTCAGAAGCTTTTCCTGCAGTTACCTCTTTCTCTACAGATTATTTTAAAAAGGTAGCTACCTGTCTGATTGCAGTGATACTTTTTCTTCGGGCTCAGAGCCTCTTTTCTGCCCACACCTTGAATCCTTGGCCCTTTCCTTATCTTTTGGTCCAGAAAGGTGAGGATTCAGAGAGGCAGGTTGAGGACTGACTGACTGCCCTTTGAAACGGGCTGCCCTGATAGTGGGGCAGCTAAAGCTCAATCATGCATGACTACAGTGGGCAGTTCATTCCTCTAGTGCCCAAAGGCCACATCCACAGCCAGTGGGCAGCTGAGTGTGGGGGTGGGAAGCAGAGTAGGTGCTGTGGGCAAGTGCATGTGTGGCTCCCTCTTACCCAGGGTGTTCTCTTTTGCTCCATTTCTGACTGGGAGTTGCTGTGGGTGAGTTAATCAGGTGGACCAGTGGCCCAGACTTGGGGAAGGAGGAGTGGCTAAGAGGTAGCTGCTTGAACAATGAGCCAGGCTTGTGATTTAGCTGAACCAGAATCTTAGCATCCTTCTCCCTGACATGATTTTATGTGTGTGTGTGGGTGTGTGTGTGGGGGGGGGTATGGCTCCTGTGAGCCAAATTTCCTGAGATGCCAGGTGCAGAACCTGTCTGTCATGAGGGCTACTGGATTCTCAGTCAGGGAGGCCTGTGCCCTGCAATCTGTATTTGAAACAGATACCTTTGCATGATTCTCTGGGATTGCTCTTTGTCACCCTGGAAGCTTAATGGATCCTCTGCCTCCACTGGGGTATGCAAAGAGCTAGAACAACAGCTACTCACCATGCCTGGGAGCTGCTGGCTGGGAGACTTCTGCAAATGGGCAGACAGCTGTACTCAGCAGGCCTTGGAGCTTCAGGCAGTCCTGTGGGGGGTTGGGGGGGTGAGGCATGCAGGTTTGTCTCCCAAGGCTAGTGGCTGGGCCACACACATCAGAGTGGACATGCTGGCTGGCTCCCCAGATTTGGAGATGTTGGTTCCTAAGCTTGCTAGAGCCTGTAAGGGAACACCTCCTGAGGAAAAGCCTGACCCTGAAATTCAGACAAGGTCAGTGAGTCATCCTGCCAGCCCCTCCATGCTCCTGTGGCTCTTCAATGTATACAATCAATGCTCTTTGTAAACCCTGGGCTTGGTGCTTTAAAAGCAGCTCCTGTCTGGAGAGGCCTTTCTCCTGGTTTTGGAAGCTCATTGTTCTCAGCCAGTGATCCCAGACTGGTCCCATCTAAAATTTCCCCAAATAGAAACAAAGCATAATTCAAACCAGAGCAACCAGCATCAGTCTCTATCATTTAAATCATGCAAGATTTGGGTGTTTGGTTTGGTTTTGTGTGTGTGAAGGGGGTCTGTCACTAGAAACAGATCATCAGAATTCAATTTATTGAGTCCTCATCTCAGAGTTCATGAAGCTCAACTCAGTCTTGGATGTTGGGTAGGGGATGGTTTCACAGACAAAAAAGCTAGACAGAACTGTAGGACCCTGGACCCTTCCTCTCATATATCATTTGGGAGACTGAAGCCCAGAGAAGTGAAGTCTGTTGTCCAAGGTCACACAGCCAAAGGGGAGATAAAGTAGCTAGAGGAGAGAATCTGAGGTTCCCAACTCCTCAGTCTCCCCTTTAACACATAGCATTGGTAGCTAAAAAGGACATAAATGAAATGTTTTCTGTTTGAGGGGAAAAGGCCAAGAGAAATCATTTGACCAGGGTCAAGGGATTTCTTTTTCTTCTTGAAAGTGGAAAACCCACTAGAAGCAGAGAACTTATCAACACAAATGACCAGAGCTATTAGGCACCTTTGGCATTTATCTTGTCTAGCCTTCTTTCAGTCCCTTTTTTGTAGGCAAATGGCAATCTAAGTCATTCAGGACAGATGGTTGTCCTGCACGGACGGATAGCCTCTCTCAGTAACCCGTCTCCAGCTGAACATGTCCCTAGTGGTCCTTTCAGACATGCACATTATTCAGAAGCCTGTGTGTGTGTGGTTTCTGGCGCCCATGAATGCTTTGTACAATCACAGTAGATGCAGATATTACATATAGTATTATGGACAGAAGCTCTGTTTACGTGGGTGTATGAAAATGTGTGTACACCTACAGAAACTACTGCAAACAATCCCCTTATTCAGATCCGGGCTTGAGTCACACCTGCTTCAGACATCCCTGTATTAGAAGATGAATTGTCCACCATGATGCTCTGTTACCTATGAGGTGAGCTCAGCCCAGAAAGCTTTTTGAAGATTATCATGTTTCCCAACTGGAACACATTGGCTCTCCTCAGCTTCTTGGCCCATGGTGTCAGGCATTCAAGGTGAGGGTGCTCACCCCATTCTTTCAGGTTGGGGCAGACATACTTCTCTATTTGAACACAATTAGATGACTGACACCTTCCAGCTCCACCCCCATGCCTCTCTGGCTTAGCAATCCTCATTCCTCCTCTCCCCCCCCCACAAAACCCATAGATATGTGTGTAGTATAAGCATATGTAAGTTGATACATGAATGTGTACAGGTGTGTGCGTGTGAATGTGGAGGTCAGAGGTCAAGGTCAGGTGACATGCTCTATTTCTCTGTACATGTTTTTAAATTTAGTGTGTGTGTGTGTGTGTGTGTGTGTGTGTTTTGCCTTCATGTATGCCTGTGCACCATGTGCCTGCTGGGAGCCTGCAGAGGCCAAAAGTGGATGTCAGACCCCCTGAAACTGGAGTTACACATGGTTGTGAGTTGCCATATGGGAACAGAACCTAAGTCCTCTGTAAGAGCACTCATCTCTCTAGGCCCTTCCTACTCTCACTAAACCTGGAACCTACTGATTGAGCAAGACTAGGCTGCCACTAAGCCCCAGGAAGCTTCCTGTTTCCACCCCACCCACATATCTGTCACTGCCACAGACAGGCATTTTTTGTGAGGCTGTTGGGTTTCCACACTCAGGTTCTCATGCTCTGATGGCAAGCCCTTGACCAACTGAGCTATCCCTCCAGCCACACCATTTCTTACTCCATCAAAACCCAGGCTGGGAAATTAACCTCATTTGGAATTTGGAAAGCTTACATGAATCTCCTGACTATAATCTTCATGCATATGCTACAAGGTATGAGGTTTTTTTTTTTTTCCTTCTCACAAGAGGTTTGTTAAGGGCCATAGAGTCAATGAATGTGTGAGAATATGCATGAATGAAGTCATGAGTGAATGAAGTGGAATGGTCACAAGCTTCTGGATTCTCTGTGTATATTCTACAAGTTCTGTGATTTGGTGCATGCCAATTAAGTGTCAGCATCATGTAGATGGAATGACAACAGCTTTTCCTCATCACCTTGCATTCTAAAATCAAATATTTTATGGCAGAGCATTTTAATCATAAGTCATCATACATATATGTCATTGATAAAATTTTTATGGGAAACTCAAGCTCCCCCACCAACATTGATCCCAGTGATTGCAACAGGTAGAAAATGCTGCAGGATGTCTTTTGTTTTGTTTTGGTTTTGGAGACATGTTATTAAGATACAGCCTAGGATGGTGTGAGACTTACTTTGTAATCTAGACTGGCCTTAACTGTGAATACTGGTGCCTCAGCCTCCTGAGTGCTGAGTTTACAGGTGTATGCCACCCTGTCTGGTTTAGAAGGCACAATGCATATTGTGTCCATGCCTATGGA